ATATTTCTAAATTTGAAAATACTTCAAGTAATTTTTTTAATGTACCATTTTGCTAAAACAATATATGTGCATTTATGAAATTAAGACAAGTAAATGTGTATGCATGTAAATCTGCACGTTTGATATTGAAAAAAAAATGCTGGGTCGATCGTCGTGATATATAGCCTACAGTACGCAAAATAAGTTCCTGAATAAATTCATTGTTTATGAAATCATTGTTAATGAAACGTTCACAATTTCTGACTTATAATTATTTTTTAAGCAAACTTTGCATTGTTTTAAAAGCAGAGATCATCAAAATAATATCGTTATCGGCGTACTTTAATTTACAACGACCGCTTTCGTGGCGAAGCGTTGACTTATAAATGATTTTATTAAACAGAAAACAAAATTATTCTAACAGTTCATGTTAAAATTATTGTTAATTTAATTTACTTAATTGCATGAACCTTGACTGGCTTTGAATGCTTTAAAACAGGGATTGCGTCAACCAATTAGCCGCGCTTCACTGACCACATGCACCTGTGGCGGTACTATCGAGATAATTGACACTTAAAAATGGACGTTTGTTGTGAAAACAGGGTGGCGGATGGCGGTATGCGAATTTGGCGTTATAAAGAGAATTTTATATAGCAGGAAAAACGTTCTTGGGAAATCATGGCGGTATTGCGAAAATGGCGATGAATCGAATGGCGATAATTCGAGAATTGACTGTATTTGAAAATGCATTGTTACGCAACTTCATATTGAAGTTTCCAACAAATATAGAAAAAGACTATACAAGTCGCTAATCTATTTCTGGTTTTGTTTGCTGCGAATCTGGTCTTCACCTTTAGCCTTTATATGGGTCAATACTGGCACGATAAAGAACCCTCACTGCTCGATAAAGAACCTTCACTGCTCAATGACCCTGAGTTCCGAGTAAAGGTCAAAATTTGAAGCCCTTCACCGGTATATGGTGACGTCCCTTCAAGAGTGAAAAATTCTCGAATGGGACGTAAAACAGCATACAATAAATCTTAGTCCAAGGGGCATAACTTTGCCCAAAATGGCTCGATCGAAACCAAAACAGGACTTGAATTAGATATTCCATTGATAAATCTGTACACCAAATTTAATTTCAATATATGCAACGCCTACGAAGAAAATGAACGGAAACTGATGGTGGACCGACAGACAGACCGGCCGACTGACAGACAGCAGCAAAGCAATACGCTCTCCCTTCTTCGAAGTGGGCATAATAAATATTCCGTTCTCTGCTCCATATGTCTCATCTCTTCTGGTACAATGGGGTACCGAGAAGAACATTGCAAGCCCCTTTTTGATTATTTTCCTGGGTGTGACTTACCATTTAAACAATTTAGAATCCTCTTCCCGTTCGCATTCTTGAGCCAACTTTCGGACAACGGATGAGTCGCCTGAGCGGCGCAGTGGTTCGAGTGTCTCCTCTAGAGTTGCGAAGTAAGGAGTTGTCGAGGGTTTGAATCCCACTATAGGACGTGGAGACCGGTCTTTCGGATGAGACCGTATCACCCAAGTCCCGTGTCGCAGTAGGTGTTGGCATGATCCCTCACCGCTCAATGGCCACTTTCCACCGGCAAATGGTGGCGTCTACATATTATGGAACTATATGGAGATAACCAACAGTATTCAAACTCAAAAGTTTAATAAACAAAACAAAATTGGAGCCGAGAAAAGACAGACCTCCGAAACATCAGAGGTGGGATCAGGTGCCATGGAAGAGTGAGAATATCGGTCATACCCGCCGTGTGCTCTTTGTCATGACCGGGAAATAATGGAAAAATCTGTCGTCAATTCAGTGTGTAAATAATGGACTATCAATTACTAAAAGCGTCTGCATTTGACTCATTGATAAAATGCATTTGCTGACAAGGTCATTGTATCGACTGCTGATTGTTTCATCAACTTGTTCGTAAATAATTTACATCTTTTTTGAAATTGTAAATACGTAGAGCATGCTCTAGCATGAGATATATAAACTCCGAATCTAGGTGATATATATTGCTGCATAAATAAGGGGAGATGACGATTGAAAAGTTAAAGTCATCATGTTTATCATAGAGCTTGGTTGTTTGATTACCATTAACGTCTTTTAAAGTAAAATATCCAAATATGAAACAGATTGCCAGACCCTGTGGCATGTTCTCCAGCTCACAGGAATATATCGTATCAATATAAGAATAGAAATAACATTGTTTATTGACAATACGTCGTCGATATATCTTAATATGGAGTTGAAGGCCACAGCAAGTGTTTTTTTCTTTTCACGTATAAGATTTTGGACAAATTCTGCTTCATATGAAAACAAATGCTTATAACAGGGCGCAATTAGTACCCATGGGAATTCCAATAGATTGTTGGATTACCTAGTTTCTAAAGCCACATAGATATTGCCAATGAGAAATTGAAGCATCTTTTTGATGCCACATTTAGAGTGCTTGTGTGTACAATCAGAATGTTTTTTTCACAAAATAAATTTTGCAAATGACCAATGACATGGTAAGTAAATTTACGACTGCCATTTTCATTATAAAAGCAGCTGTCAATAATGTTGAAAAGCCCGAACTTTAATTTATCGCGGGAAATGGTTGTGTATAAAGTTGAAAAGCAATATTAAAGCTGTTGGAAAAATGTTCTAGAACATAGGGACACTAGGTCATCAGAAAAACTTTTGAGTTTTTAGCTTAGATGAACTTAAAAGGAAAAAAAATTCCGACAAATAGCAAAACGGACGGTAAAGGTGGAGAATTCAATCAACTTTCTTTTTTCACCGAGGATAGACTTACATGTGAGGGGTACATAAAAGATGTGTTAGTGACACTATGCCCCCGATGGTAATTCTGGAGTGGGGCGTAGACTGAAATGGTATGCACTTACCCTTGACGCCACAATAGTTATGGGCTACGTTAAAGTTGACAACAGACAGACAAACAGGATAAAACATGACTGACTAAGAATGTTTAACAATTTTTCACAATGCATGAAAGAAATTGGAATATGACATCATGTTGTTTGTATGTCTCGTTCATTTGTTGGCGTTCGGGCTCAGTTGAAGATTTGTGTAGATTGATGACTCTTGTTCTGTTGCGTTCGTTAACACCGGTATTACATTCTCGTAAGTCTCGTCCGTGACATTCGTCTGTTCTGGGATTCTAAAAGTAATTATTTGCATTTATTTGAAATACGTTTTTGTAAAACAGTACAATAACCTATATGGCATTAAACAATTGTAGAAATACATTTGCACTGGGATTATTTTGAAACAGAAGTTACCTTTGTCTTCTAAAATGAAAAGTGAGTACAGCCAGGGCCAGAGAACCCAAACTCACGACAGCTAACAGAGCAGATAAAACAGCTACTGTGCCAGAATCTTTTAAAAGAAATGTCACCCATTTACTGAGATCTAAATATTGGCGTGTAATTTGTTTAAGGGTAAACAAATATTTAGCAAAATGTAAATTTTTGATATCGTATTTGTTTCCTCAAGTTGTGCGTTGATATTGAGTCGTAAGTATATAGCATATTCTCACAATCATTTGTTTCATAAATATACTTTCTTCATATCTAGATGTTTTGATAATGCCAAAAATCGATGTTCAGGGCCATTTATAATATTTGACAAAAGGATTTGTAAAGAAAAACAAACATATTTATCTACACAAGAAACATAAGAAATCCTTTCCCCCAATCCTCTATAGAAAAAAATCAAAGAGGGCCCCAAATTTTCGGACCAGATTTCAAAGGCAGTAGAACTGGTCCGAGAAGTACAAAGAACACGCGTGGAGCAATGGTAAGAGCGTCTGCTCTAGCTAGAGTCGCGGAGTAGAGGCAATCCTTACTGTATGGGTACGAATCCCATTGTGCGACATGGAGACCGGTCAGATGAGAACGTATACTGTAAAATCGCATATTTTCATGGGGTCAGATTTTCGGGATTTGAGGAAAAAAAATTGGTATCGCAAATACGAAATACCTTTAGGTCAAATGCCCGCCGCCGTTTTCATACTAATTGAATACTGTACGTTCAACATCTCCATATATCAAGTGGTCTTGCGAAGGAGTTGATCCTTATGTCGTGGGTTCTAATCCCACTTTGGGACGTGGAGACTCATCCTACGGATGAGACTGTAAAAACCGAGGTGCTAGCACGAAAAGATCCCTCCCTGCTCAATAAATCTTAGTGCCGAGTATGGGCCAAAATTGGTAGCTCTCCACTGGCAAGAGATAGCGTCTCCATATGTGTGCAAAATTCTAAGAGGGACGTTCAACAACAAACAATCAATCAACCAATTTCTATATCATTGAGACTTTCATTCTAATACAAAAGAATGCAGATTTAAATGAAAACTACTTGCATATGCTAAGTGTCAAGAATAAGCTACTTTATTTTAGATATTTGGATTGATTGATTGTATATTGTTTAATGTCCAATTCGAGAATTTATCACTCATATAGAGATGTCACCGTTTGCCGGTAAAGGGCTTCAAATTTAGACCTCTACTTGGCACTAAGGTCGATTAAGCAGTGAGACGTCTTTATCGTGCCAACGCCTACTGTGACACGGGACATACTTTTTTAAGGTCATATCCGAAAGGTCTATGGCTTTCACATCTAATGCCGAGCGCTTAGGCGAAGGAACATTCATTACCTATGTTTACATCTTAGGTTTGACACGGCTCCGCGAACGAGAATCGAACCCGGGCCTCCCGACCACGAAGCGAACGCACCACCACTAGGCTACCCTGATCGGTAGATACATGTAGTTGAAATGAATAGATCAGTTTAAAAAGGAGAGTGGGGATGAAATATCCCTTACACAAAACAAATATAGATCTGAAAGTAATAGATCAAAGTACGACACCGATAAGCATGTACAGTTTATATTCTAAGGATGAAGAAGGAAAAAACGAATGTGAACTCTAAATTAAACTTTGAAATGAAAACGCAATAAAATGTCAATGATACAAGCATGCTCGACAAGTCTCGATTTGAAAAACCCTTTTCAACTAAATGACATGAATAATCCTATGAAAGTGGTTGTTCCTCACAAAACAGAGAGGAAATCCAACTCAACTCAGTATATTCATGGAAAAGAGCTGACCTAGGTACCATCCGCATGAAGTTGAGAGAATTCTGTGATAATTTAGTGCACGATTTTAGCTTGCGTTATCCAGTACAGAGGATGTGGAGTTCCATAAAAAACAGCCTTCTTATCATCAAGGAGGATCATATTCCCTCCAAACTTTCATACACCCGATATAGCCAACCGTAGGTAAATCAAACATTAAAGAGCATTACTAAACAGAAGTACAGAAAATTCGGAAAGGCTAGAAAAACAGGGAAGACGAAGGATAAGGATAGTTATCAGAAACTAAAAAAGAGGCAAAAAACACCTGTCAAAGTACCTAAGATCATCATCAGCACTGATGCATCCTCAAAACCTAAGTATTTTTGGAGTTTTATAAAAGATAAAGAACAGAGTCATCAGGACTTTCCACCCCAAGGATAAGCATGGTGTAAGACATTGAGTAGAAAGCAAACATCTTGAACGAGCAATTCTCAGTTTTTATCAAAGAGGAAAGAATCGATCACATCCGAGATAAGGGTCTTTCATCATTTAAGTACCTGATCATCCGACCGTGAACCAACCAATCTGTTTTACCTGCACTGTAAATATAGTTATTTTGTTTTTTAATTCACCCTGTTTTCCTCGCAACACCATGCACCAGTTCGAAATATCAGAACTCCTGATCAATATTTTATTGGAAGAAGAACATCTAGATGGACAGTGAATATTTTTATTACAGAATGGACTGAAAGAAGAAATATCAGGAACCCTATTTTCCTTTCTGGACAATTGACCTTAAGGTCAGACGACACGTTCCTCAAATTTATATAATCTATATATGATTTTTTCTAAGAATTTGTCATTGAAGTATAGGTACTTAAACAAGTTTCCTCACAAAAAATTAGGGTACCTTACCAGGCATTTGAACAAGATACCACAGGGTCATATTTCTTATCTAACCCTTATGGATAATATTCTGAATGGGCTTTTTCATAATTTTTGGTGTACTTATATTTAAAAACATTCAGAAAACAATGTAGAAATAAGAAGAAAATGACAAATACAAATAATTTTTGATATAATACAAAGAATTACAAAAGATGTATTTGAGGAACGTGTCGTCTGACCTTAAATTAATGCCTCTGTAGTTTCATCACCTTAGTTAACAAGGGAGAAAAGAGATCTGAGAAACTTCATCACCCAAACACTGTTTGAAATTATAATATTAACTCAGCACTTGTCAGATTTCTTGAAGACATGGAATTCCTTATAGTTTGACAAGATGAAGAAAGTGCGTAAAAGGCTTGAAAGTTCACGTAGGAAAGCAGAGATCATTAGTGTTGAGTAAAAGAACATATTCCTTGAGGCTTTTAAGGTTCCGATACGTCGGCCATGTTGCTGGATACCTCAGTCCTTCTTCTGGATTAAATTTTATGTTACGAGCGGGTCAAGGACACCGAAATTTGCGTCGAGGGACCAGCTCCACTTGAAGGAAGACGGCGATGGCACCCATTATTCAGTTGGATTAAATTCAAGCTGGATCCGTGCGTTTGAAGATGATGAAATGAGTGGAAAAACGGATGTTTTAAGGCATTAAAAATCTCCAACTGCATGGTGCATTGTCGTTTGATGCTTTTCGCCCTCTTCAAAGAAATGTACTCGACATTGCAAACCTGTAGGATTGCCTGGTTACTTTAATTACCAACCTCTGTGCACTGGCTGCCCACTTCTGTACTCGGCAGGAGTTGATGAACAGTTGATCCCAGAAAAAAAAAACTGGTCATCGGTCACTGGTACTTCGATGGAAAATAGAAAATCAGGGGCTCGTTTCACAAAGAGGCCTACGACCAGGCTTAAGCTTAGTCCGGACTAAATCAGTGACTAAACCCGGAAGTCGGACTAAGTTGCGTTTCACAACAAGAGGCCCACGGGCCTTATAGGTCACCTGAGTATCATGTAACAACTTTCCAGCGATTGTATTTGGTTCGTGTTTTAATCCAAAAACCATGAAATTCACAAATTTTGAAAGAGGCACCATTGCTTATCAATGGGCAGATTTCTAAGCATTAATTTATTTTTAGTCAAAGTACACCCCTGGTACCCCTGACCCAGCAGCCCTGAAATTATCTATTTTGAAAGAGGCCCCTTTCTTCGTTATAAGGCCAGAATTTTTTTTAAGTTTAGGTTTAGTTATGAACATGAGAATAAAAAAGTCCCGAAGGAGAAGGAAATAAATTTTTTTTTTTGATAAATCAATTATTAACATTTGTACATTCTTTTTTTATGCTATCCTAAAAGGCTCCTTACCACTGGACACATAATGCTTTCAAATAGGAAAGTAGAACATTTAATTGCTTATTTCATCATCTGCCATTTTGGGCCAGTTATATAAATTTTGTGATGTTGATCAAAATATATTTAAAAAAATCAATTCTTTAAAAGTCTTTCAATATATCTTCATTTTTTTAATATGGGTTAGGTGAATGTGTAGACATTGTTCTAAAATTTACTTGATGCCTAAAATTATAATTCCTATCATAAAACAAACAGGGAGTATTGGGGAGTAGGGTGAACATTTTTTCAATTAAGTGTGAAATAATTTTTCTGGCTGATACAAATGATACTAAATGCCTGTATATATTTGTATATTCTTGCCTTTTAATTGTTAAATTTTTTTTATTTCTTCAGGTTATTGTTTATTTCTTCCTCAAATGGACTTAACTTCTCCCATAGTTTTATTCATTACATCTGATGCATAAGCAACCCTTTTCTGAAGAATGATACTGTAAGCTACAACAAAGACCTAAACACTGTAGCTGGCAATATGCAATAGCTACCACGGGCAGTTTAAAACCCGGGGGAGGAAAATAATTTACAGACAGATACTTTTCAAACGAATACATAATTATCTCACCAGCATGTCATTGTGCAACAAAGTCGTCAGCATTTTATTTGTCCTTTGAACGGGTGAAACGTTTTGAATGGCACTCTTATCGATGAATTTTACACTAAACCAAGCTATCTTCTCAGACCTGTCACCTAGCTTTATTTACCCGCGGTTTCATCATAAAAGCGGAAGTGCGAGTTCGTAAATTTGAAATCTCGATCCCGATTCAAATTTGACATCGGAAAGAAAAAAATTGTTGTATTTCTTTCTGAAAATTCAAAACCTTGAGCGGAGGGTTTATAAAACTGAAAATAAAATAAATCCTGGCCCTAAATATGTAATTAGATCATTAGCATATTAACCAGGAGCAAAGGATTATAGATGTTCAAAGAATTCATGCAATTCACTATATAAT